ATCATGACTGTTCCTGGCAACTCTGGCTTTACCAGGCGCCCTCTATTTTAGTATATAAGCCCAGCAAATAATTGCAGATAGAGAGAGAGATATATAGAGACAGATAATTGAGTCAAGTGAGCGGTAGTGACGGTAATATAAAGTGTGTGTTTTATTATCGAGATTGCAAACGTATTGACTGTGGGAATTTTGTGTATTATAAACTTGTATCCAGAAATAATAAACTAGTTTCAGTTAAGAAAGGACTTGTATCACTGAAGTTTCTCGGAAAGAATTTATACGGGAAATTAACAAACGAACAGAGACGTAACAATAAATTTAAAATAATTTTGGATGATTCTACATTTAAGGTCATAATCAATGACTTGCATGAGTGATTTTTTCTTCTTCATAGATTACCTATAAAAAGTATCTGAGGTAACGTATTTTTAACATATGGATATTTTATGAAGGAATGCAATATTTATGATATTTTGCTTCAAAAAACAGACAAACAAACAAAAGAAACTTTTACACAAATGCTAAGTACGCAGCCTCATTGTTAAGTTCTTTGGTTCAGATGTTTATATTGACGTTATTACGATGTTTATTTCACGACATTTGATTGAAAATCCATTGAATTAACAATCTTACATTAGGCTTTAGTGCTTGTGTAACAACCTAACCATGATCTAATCAAGCGTCTCAGTAATATATAAAAAAATAGGGCCTTGAACGTTACGGTTCGTGTCTTTTGTCCGTTCCAGCATCACCTAAACAACAGTAGTTAAATCTCAAGTTGACGGATTCCGAGTTATCCAACAGCGAATACGAATCATGTATGGAACGACCTATCGCCCTACTTACAGGAAGCGGCTTCTTGTTTTGTAACTTGAAAGTTGTTTCTGCAACAAGCAGAAGAATAGTCACATTTTAGTTTCTGGTTTACATTATATAACTTTTCATATAGTTGCACATCGCAGACAAAAATAGTAAACATTTCTCATGAATTTAATATTGAACATCGGGGATTCAGCTGGAACAGACGACACTTGGCAAAACCTCTGAAGATGAAAGTTGTCTTTTTTTTTACCATTGGATGCAAATTAACAAAAAAAAACTTGTTTTTCACAGACCCCAGCTACATAGGCCACTAGAATACCGTTAAACCAATGTAGATACACTGTAGCTTGCCATATTGTTAGACCAATGGATGTACACTCTAGCTTGCCATATTGTTAGACCAACGGATGTATACTGTAGCTTGCCATATTGTTAGACCAATGGAAGTACACTGTAGGTTGCCATTTTGTTAGACCAACGGAGATACACTGTAGCTTGTCATATTGTTAGACCAATGGAAGTACACTGTAGGTTGCCATTTTGTTAGACCAACGGAGGTACACTGTAACTTGTCATATTGTTAGACCAACGGATGTACACTGTAGCTTGCCATATTGTTAGACCAACGTAGGTACACTGTAGTTGCCATATTGTTAGACCAACGGATGTACACTGTAGCTTGCCATATTGTTAGACCAATGGAAGTACACTGTAGTTGCCATATTGTTAGACCAACGGATGTACACTGTAGCTTGCCATATTGTTAGACCAACGGATGTACACTGTAGCTTGCCATATTGTTAGACCAATGGAAGTGCACTGTAGCTTGCCATATCGTTAGACCAACGGATGTACACTGTAGCTTGCCATATTGTTAGACCAATGGAAGTACACTGTAGCTTGTCATATTGTTAGACCAACGGATGTACACTGTAGCTTGCCATATTGTTAGACCAATGGAAGTGCACTGTAGCTTGCCATATCGTTAGACCAATGGATGTACACTGTAGCTTGCCATATTGTTAGACCAACGGATGTACACTGTAGCTTGCCATATTGTTAGACCAATGGATGTACACTCTAGCTTGCCATATTGTTAGACCAACGGATGTACACTGTAGCTTGCCATATTGTTAGACCAATGGAAGTACACTGTAGCTTGCCATATTGTTAGACCAATGGAAGTACACTGTAGCATGCCATATTGGTACCAACGTAGGTACACTGTAGCTTGCCATATTGTTAGACCAATGGAAGTACACTGTAGCTTGCCATATTGTTAGACCAATGGAAGTTGGTCTAACAATATGGCAAGCTACAGTGTACCTACGTTGGTCTAACAATATGGCAAGCTACAGTGTACAGATGTACACTGTAGCTTGCCATATTGTTAGACAAACGGAGATACACTGTAGCTTGCCAGGAAAATTATGTAAGCGTAGCAAAAGTTTCGACATATTCAGTAATAAGTTATTGTGTTACGAAACACAGAATAAAAAAAAGCGTATAGTAAGGAATTACAACACATTATACAATAAAAATATGCAAAAAAATACAGTCTAAGATTAAAAAATGGAGACGATGTTATTAACCTTAATGAAGTATACATGGTATACAATACTGATGTTACAAACAAACAAACGTTCCTAAAAGAAAAAATTGGAATAACAATAGCCACTATAGTTAATACGTAGCACGTTAGATAAATGTTTTAAACTCTTATGTCTACGAAAAGTACATCTTAAGTCTTCTGAGTTTCTAATCAGTTTTTAAGAACTGAAGTAGAAAAGCTGAAAGGATCGATGAGTTATATTTCTAGTTCTGAAACCACGAGCGTCTTTTAAAAACATGTTTTGTTTATATAACTCTCGGCTAGTGAGTTACAGATCAGGATCTACAGAGAAATATCTTGTTTATATAACTCTCGGCTAGTGAGTTACAGATCAGGATCTACACATGTTTTGTTTATATAACTCTCGCCTAGTGAGTTACAGATCAGGATCTACAGAGAAATATCTTGCTGTAAGAGATTAGACAAATTTCATTCGTGAACTGACTTATAAACACCATTTCTTCAAACATAGTACGTTTTTCCGCATTCAATGAATAAAGTTTTCTATTTTTCTTTATTCTGGAAAGTTTCTCTTCAAATTGTTTTTTTCATCAACAGTCGAAAAAAATACTATTATCGTAATTATATCAACAGTGAAACATTGCAAATGAAATTATCCATTAATTACTGTCTAATTATATTATAAGATGTTAATTATGTAAATGATTTTCTATATTTATAAGGAAGTAGGATCATATATACACTTAACAGTAACTTTCTCTAAGCAAGAACGCAGATAAATAATTCTTACCAGAATGTGGAGTAATATGTGAGTTTCCAGGTGTTTAAGCATTCCTTTCAAATCCTCAGAGTAAGAGTATTTAATGTTATCCTAATAACTCTGATGAAAGAAACCTAGTAGATTAGAAACATAGATAAATAGTTTGTTGTTTTTTTCTTCTGATAACAGAATTAGTTTTAAGATTAAAAAGTCGCGATCGAAATCTCTTAACGAAACGATTTAAAGTTTGATAAATTGAATTTCAGAGATTCACTTCGAAATGAGCGTATTTTTAAATTCATTAAATCTCCGTAGCTAGCGAACTTAGTATGTCAATATAATATCTGGTCAGTTCTTGCTCCAGCTGTGGAGATAAATAAATGAGACTTACGGAATCTTCTTCTTCAAGATATTTTGTTTGTAATGTATCAGCCAGGTATGGAGGGGGATTAAATGTCTTTCAAGTTAGTTCATGAGCAATCTACTCTTAAAGGACGCTGAAGTTTAGAGTTCTTTATACACTCCAGCAGTAAACATTCAATTTTCTAATAAAAGGAAGTTCCCAGCAACCTCTGCTCGTCTTCAGTAAAGTGCTCACGCGCGTGCGCCAAGATTGTGCCTTGCGTTGTATTCCTCTAAGAAGTTATTTACCTGCCGGTTAACTAGTACAGGCTAGAAAAGCGTAACTTGACGTCGAGACTATACAGTGAATCCTTACTGATCAGTGTTTATGTAAAGTGAGATATTCATTCATGGTCAATATTGCTCATATAAAATGGTTAAACAAGTCAAAGTACAGAACTCGTTTATATTGTTTCCTCCTAGAAATACCCCCATTTTCTCATGTTTCCTCCTAGAAATACCCTCATTTTCTCATGTTTCCTCCTAGAAATACCCCCATTTTCTTATGTTTCCTCCTGGAAATACCCCCATTTTCTCATGTTTCCTCCTAGAAATACCCTCATTTTCTCATGTTTCCTCCTAGAAATACCCTCATTTTCTCATGTTTCCTACTAGAAATACCCCATTTCCTCATGTTTCCTCCTAGAAATACCCCCATTTTTCTCATGTTTCCTACTAGAAATACCCCATTTCCTCATGTTTCCTCCTAGAAATACCCCCATTTTTC